AAATCCTTGAATGGATTCCGAATAAAATGAATGCCTCATTTGTGCAGATGTCCTTGACAATCAGTCATTTCTTACTATTCAATTTCTTTTTGTGCAGACCTAAAAACAATTTAAAATTCTATCTGAAGAGATAAAAAGTTTCATCAGAAAAAAATGGATCACGCATGATTTCATTAACAGCCTTTTACAATGAGTTAGACACTCAGAAGAATTATTTAATAAGTGTTTACAAGCAATTTCAAGAGCATTTTAGCAGACTTTTGGAAGTCCCTATTACCAAACTGGAAGCAGTTAAAATGCCTTCACTTAAAACAAACAAACAGAAAAAAAAGCCAGGCAATTTGCAAAGGATATGGAAATTCAAATGTGGTGGAGCTTACAACATTTGCTGTTCGATCATAAAGTGCACTTTTCAAGTTCATATATTTTTATGAGATCATTTCTCCATTCTGGAATGTATCCAATAAACTATTTCTCTCAAACTAAGCAATAAAGACACTAAAAGGTTGTTTTCTATGGTTTTCAGTCAACATTTCCCAAAGCTATGCAGAAAGATATATCTTTCCATGATGTATCCATTTTTCCATGGTTTTCCAGACTCTTTAGTCAATATATGTATTGTTAACCATTTGGAGAAGAGACAGCAGGCTAAGTTACCTTGTTTGTTCCTCCCTTTAGCTCTGCTTGGGTCTCTACCAGTTCTCTTTGTTTCAAGTAGAAAGTACTTTAGGTCAAATTTAAAGTCAAATTTATTTTATTAGCTAGCTTAACTTTATGTGACAGTATTAGTTATTGCTAATAACAAGTCCCTTTCTGCTTCAGCTTCAGAATATCCTTCCCCAGTAAGAAAGAGGTCATCAGCAAATATTCTTGTGCTGCTAGCTTTTGATTCTCCATATTGGAAAATTTCAGAAGCTCTGAGTACAAGTTTGTGTAAGGCTTTGCCAAAGTGGTTAAGTAGCTTGTCTTCTTGTTCAACCTATTCTGTTGAATATCAAATAATGAAAAAAAAATATTTTTTCCAAGAGGGGAAAAAATGCCATGTGATAGGTAGATAGATATTCCACTTTAATGTCTGTTCAGAAATTTGGGATCTATTCATAGTTTTTCAGAGAGTTTGATCCTATAACCAAATTACTAATCCATATTGTTCTGATGTCCATCATAATTATTATCTATTTCCTGCTTTAATGGTTCCTCCTCCTTTTAGGAATCTAAATCTTTAGGATGGTTTCATGCTAGAATATATGTCAAGTTTAAGTTTTCCTAACAAATGTCCTTCCCTGGAAGACATTTTCAGACTCTTGCAGTAGTGTCTCCATAGTCCCGGCAGCCACATGACAGTGCTCATTAGTTTGCGCTGCATGCAAGATATTATGATATTGTAATGCAATCAATTTCATGGGCTGCATTGTTTTGCTTCCCAGCAGAGGTTTAAAGACCTCCCCTTCCACAATAATAAATTCCAACTGATAGACCTCTTGGGTTGCAAAATTTAATTCTGCATTTTCCCATTATTTTTAGAGTATGCTTGTTAGAGATAAAGACTACCTGGCAGCATGGAGCAATAACTCTCCCTACAGGGATGAAACACTGTGATAGCACACTACAGGTGGTACACAAGTCCACATAATAGTGAACAGATTGCAAGCAATTCAGTGAGTTACATCCACCTAACTAGTAATGTTTACCATCTGTATTTCAAAGTCTGGGACTGCTACACTGAAGCTCTGGGCACCATATTATAAGAACAGTTCAAAGAACTGAAACAGGTTCAAGAGAGGAGAATGAGGATGATCGGGGGACTTGAAACTCAGGTCCTATGAACAACCGCTTCTCTGTGTGGATGCTGTTTCCGGAAGTCCATTCTGGGCCTGGGCAACAAAAAATTAGCTACTGGTTCTGCCGAAGTGGTGTGAACCGACTGAATCCCACCACTGCCTAGAGATGTTAGGGAGTCCAGACCACCAGCCAAGAAAAAACTATAAATTTATTCACTCTTTATTTGTATTTTATTCTATGTCTGATTAAGTGCTGAGTCTAAGCCTTGACAATTATTCCTCATAACAATTTTTGGAGAGTTTCAAACGATCAGGAAAATAAGTAAACAAATGAACAAACAGAGTTTTCTTAAGCTTCTAGAAGGCTATTATGGTCAGTGGACCCTGTTAAGTTGGGTCAGCCAGAAATTACACAAGTATAACATGACTGAATTTGATAATCAGTTCATAAAGGAAAGTATCACATCTATCTTTAAGAGTTCGAATGTTCTGAAGGAAAGAGGCAACATAGAATAGCGGTCCAGAGTTTCCACTTTTTTTTCTACAAACTGCTGATAAAATATATAATAGTAACCATTCCTTTTCTTCAGCTTCCAGCTCTTCAAGTTCAATTTACAGCCTCTAATTGCTTTATATATCAATACAAATAGATTCCTTTTCCCTGTAGATAAGATGGTGTTTCTAAAGTAGAAGTGAGAATGTTTTTTTCTGAACTCACTCCAGTTTTCAGCTCTCATCAACTTTAAGCAGCTATGTGAGTGCAAATATAATTAGACACATAATAATTGTATTATATGTTAACTATTCTCATTATACACTTGCCTATTCTTCCTAATACTTGCGTTAATGAAACCTTACAAATGTTACTGGAAAAATTTATTCATTTTCTGGTTCATTCCACTGATCTTGATTTAACTGATGATCCTTTGCCAAATAAAAGCTTCTATTTTGATGGGTAGCTAAGGTACTACACCAATCCTCTTTCTCTTCACCAGTTGTCCCCAGAATCTTACCTTGAAATGCCTCATAGACTATGGAACACTCATGAGCTAACAAGCCTTTAACAATGCACTGCCTAATCTATTTTTAGGATCACTAACAATCCTTTCCCTGGACTGAAACAATTTTTCAGTCAATCCATCTTCAATAACCACTAGAGTTGTCCACTGTAGGGTCCTTAGTGCTCTCTGAACTTGACTGTTTTCTTGAAGACATTTCATTAGCACACTAAGTAACATCATCAGTGCTGGAAGGCAATAGATTTGCTCTCAGTTTATATACAGATGCTTATCCTGTCAGTGTTGGTGGAGGCAGAAGTGTTCTTGGTGACTTCTTGATTAGACTATTGTTTATTGTTGGATGATTTGTCTGAGTTGGTAGTTCCTTGATAGATATATTGAGTTGTCTACATCTGAATTAGTCATTTTAGCTATTAGCCATCACTTCCATTTCCATGCCTTTCCATTTATAAGCTTTTTCTCTTCAGAATCTTTCTGGGTGGTTTGTTTATATACATATACATATACATATATATATATATATATATATATATATATATATATATATACACACTTTCTCTTTTACCACTCCATATGTGTTTTTCTCCTTGAGAACTATTTCATATCAGAATCTAAATAAACACTTTCAAGGGCCTTATGAGAAAAGTTTACAATTTGCTTTATTTGGATAGTTGAAGGAAGTTATGAACAATTAGTTAAGACACTAGCAAGCTCATCGTGCAGAGTTTTTACAGTAATAAATTTTGTATGAACTGGCTCCAAACTCACTATCCTGCAAAAGAAGTCAAATTTATGGTGTGTGTTAAAGAAAACTATCTATCGCTTACTGAAAGCCCAGTTATCCTCATCTATTGAGTTTATTTGATTGCAACTGACAGCTGCCATTGATGAATAAGAAAGGACTTTGATAATCTATTTGGTAATGATATGTCAATGATTTATATGGTTGCACAACAAGATATTGGTCATGCAACGTATGATAGCTCATTAACTTTAGTTGCCAGAGAAGATACCTACCTGTGCTTCCCTCTATGATCAGCTTTTAAACTGGGGAAACATATTAGCCATGAAATGCTTGGTTGTGATGTAACTTGGTTACATCACAAAGCCAAATCACATTGAGGACAAATGATTTATTGTTCCTGATGTACTTCTGTCATTGGAAGGTGAATGCGCATGAATAGCTTCATCACTAAATACAGATTTTACTGTAATCACTTTGAATGGGTGAATATAAATGAATTGTTCTTGAAATGAGATTACCTTTGAACTAGATACCATCTTTTTTAAAAGATTACCTTAACTTGTACATCTTTAGAAGAGGACATGGGTTTATTTTTTTGATCTTTGGTAGTAGCTGTTTCTATAAAGCATGTATTAAGGAAAAAATTGCAGCTATAGGAGCTACTTCACATGGAAAGGAGAGGCACCCTAACGATTTCCAAATTCATGCTTGATACAAAACCCCTTTTTTCTCTCTCTTTTGCAATATTAAAAGTGATGCCCTCAAATTCAAAGAAAGAGATTCAGAACTGACAGAAACAAACATACAAACAGAGATGGCTATAAACATACACACAAATATATTATAAAATTAAAGCCTAGGTACTAAAATTGATCTTTGGTACATATATGTTTTATTAAAGATATTATTGGTTATATAATTTCACCATTTTAACATAATAATAGTTGTCATCATTTAACCATTTTTTGTTGTTGTTATTGGGCAGATAAAAGAACAGTGACGTAGTAACTGATACTGTGTACAACTTCCTAACAATGTTCAATCTTAATATATTTTAAATGGCTATATTATTTTGAGGAACGGCAAAAAGGTCTATTGTGTCTAATGAGGGGGTTGCTTATTACAAATTTAACTCATTTTTGCTGAAGTGAAAAGATTCCCTAAATCATCCAAGTACTGTACAATATATCCATTATTCTGACCATTAGTTTGGAACACTCAGCATAAGAAAGAATTCTTTGCTGTTTTAAAAATAAAATGCTGCTTTGGTGGTATTGGAAAATCCTAACCGTTTAAATTATATTGGGGATGTATCCCTAATTGTAATCTTTTTCCTTCATAATCATATCATTCTTTTCTAGCTATTGGATGATCTGACTTACAATGACAAGTCTATCAAAGGAAGCCTTCAGTAATGGCTATTTTACTAGTAAAGATCTTTTCTTTGTTTTCCAGGAGTGATGGGAGAATATGAACCAAAAATTGAGATCCATTTTCCATACACAGTTACTGCTGCTAAGGGATCTACTGTTAGAATGGAATGCTTTGCACTGGGCAAGTAAGTATACTTTCTTTCATAATTGATTATTAAAATCTGAGATCATTTATTTAGTTGATAATAAACAGAGAAAGAAAGATACATTATATACACACAAAGTCCTGGAGAAAATCTTCATGGCCACTAAGAGTTGACATTAACTTGATGATACATAGTCAATCAATCAATCAGTATATTGTGTATACATGATATATAGATGTTAGATAGATGATAGATGGTAGATGGTAGGTAGATAGATAGATAGATAGATAGATAGATAGATAGATAGATAGATAGATAGATAGATAGATAGATAGATATTCATTCGTTCGTTTTTTCATTCTGAGAGAGAGAGAGAGAGAGAGAGAGAGAGAGAGAGAGAGAGTCAAAACTTATTCCCAATTATTCTGGGGTGCAGAATAATGAGTTCTAGAAAGGCAGATTCCATTTGAATGTTAAGATATTAACCATAAAAGCAGTTTGACAACAGAATCAGTAAACTAAAGAATAGTTTGAAGGCTCTTTTTCAACTTCATGCTTGTATGTATATTATTAATACTATTTAAGAGAACATGTTAGACAAGAGCATTAATTTATGCACTATTCCACTCCTGATACTATACCGATATGTGTCATCCATCCCTTTCTCCATACAGAATTCTCTATGCAGTTGGGGCATGTGTAACACTGAGTTACACAATGCAAGGTGGCTTCCACATATATAGCTGTACGTATATATAAAACTTACCTTTCTACATCAAGTACAATCTGGCTCAGTTGAGCTATGAGCAAAACATTGAAACAATTTATGGATGTGCAGAGAAATAATATGCCACAATTGTAAGTAGGGGAAAAAGTATACAAACCTAAAATAAGAAGACCAAACTCTGTAGGATTAAACTATTTTATGAATATAAAACCAGCTATCCATTATTTAAAAACTCTTTAAATCTTGCATTCTCAATCAGTGAGAAGACACAAGGCACAAGTCTTTTCAAAGACTGAAAACTATTTTTTAGACTATTATAGTCTAATCCAATATTCTGTTCTACTTTTTGGTGTTTTATTTTAATTTTGCTACTACTAATTTTGCTTAGTGGATTATTTTCATTCTTATAAGCCGATCTGAGAGGGTTTTTTTTTTAAAAAAAACTACAAAACAATCCAGAGTGTTCTGCATGTCCTCCATTAATTTCTACACATCTCAAATACTGTTCATTGATAGCAGGGGCTGTCTCCTAGTCCTACTTTAGTCTTCCAAGTAAAATACAGAGAATTTATTTTGAAACTTTTCAGAAGTTCTTAATGGAAAGGTCAATAATAGCTGTAAGGTTTACTGTATTGAAAGACAGGTTGACCTTTTCTACCGTATTACTGCTGCAGGCTCAGCAAACTGTGTGATGAGTTAAGTGTCCCCAGCAGGGCATTGATGAAACCCAGCAAGCTTGATCAGTGTCTTCTTAATTCTGTTGCTATTTTGAACATTACCCAAATATAACTAGTGTTATTGGATAACTGAGAAATGGACTGAAGGGATTTAAAAAATAGACCTGTATATTACAAATCATAATAAGCAAGTTCTGCCAACAATCCTTGATAAATGGAGAGTATGAGTAAAAGAAAAGATTTCATAACACAGTTGATTTCTGAAATTAAATGTCTTAGTAGTGGCTTCCACCTTCCACAACTTCACGAACAGAACAATTCGGGGACTGGGACATCTGCCAATTTTAATTGCTATCAGTTTTTTAATTGCATGCCCTTGAGTTCATTGCAGTTTCTTTTCACATCAATTTATGAGTTAAAAATAAGAGAGAGGGAATCTGTACAAATATTTACATGCATTGCCATGCCCAATTCTCTTGACATTTGTTGCTTAACGTGCTTCTTAGGCTTTGCTTTCCCTTTGAATTGTGAACCATACCTAAACTCTTTGAAAGGTTCAGATTTCAATAAATGTGAAAGAAAAGATTTGTTTCACTCCCAGATGTTTTCCACAATCTGGGCATAAATTCTCTTCATTGCAAAAGATGGGATGATTTGAATATATATAAATATGAATGCACATATCAGCCTAATTAGACATATCAGTAAGAAAACATAATATAATCTATTCTAGTATGAATTATAATATACGTTTTCAAAATACAGGTATATCGGCAGTGCTTTTTTTGTAAAAAAAAAAAAAAAAAAAGGTGCCGGAACTCACACACGTCATACAACCCACCTTGCCTACCCTACAAGGTTCCATCCAAAAAAGGTGCCGGAACTCCGTTCTGGAAGTTCTATGACAAAAAAGCCCTGTATATTAGTATAAGGAAAAAGCATTTAATTAAAAATCTGTTCCAATGTTTGCATCTGACGTTAGCTAAGAAATAAAAAATATATTGGTTATAAATTTCTTAGTTTCTATTTTTTTGTGATCACAAAATTTATTTATCATTTATCATGTTTCTGCCTCAGTTTGAATTTTCTTCAGACAAATTATTTGCATCTTTTTCTTCTAATGGGTTTATTTTATACACTTTTGCCCAAAACTACATCTTTCTTACAAATAATTTTCTGTGGTTGTGAGATATGGACTGGAAACAGTTTAAGTGTGATCATGTCATACCTCTTGAAAGTATGTAGAAGAAGCTGTAACTTTTCCTATGCTTTGAACAATCCTATAAAAACATACCTAGAATATGAGGACAACAGATCAATTTAGAGAAGTGAAAACTGTAACAAGTGTGTTTTGAACTGTGTATTAGCTTGAAAGTGAAAAATTAGGATAGTTATATTCAACTGCTTACCCACCCACCCCCAATTCTATTGCTAGATAAGAATAGCATCAGTGTTATTTTGTCATTAATGGCAACTGTTGTTTTTTTATTAAATCAGCTATTTAGTATGGCATCGCATTTAGCAATTTTCACTTGCAAATATCTGCAGTCAGGCAAGATAAGGGACAACTGAACATGGCCTCAAGGCTCAAAATGCCCCTGCACAAGCAATCACACAAAATAAGCTTCCCTTCTTGTACTTTCCAGATGTGCTGAGATTGCAGCCCTCAGAATTCCTTGGCCAACATCTGTATCATGGCCAAACACCACTTTGAGCCCATTCATCCAAACATGGATTCATGGGGGAGGGGTGGTGCTTCCTGTGCAACAAAAGTGTTCCATGATGGAAACAGGAAAAAGAGCTCATAACCCTGATCTGTCCTTAATCATTTTGTTGGTTCAGTATCTAAAGAAGTCATAAATGTAAATAGCAATAGCACTTAGATTTATATACCATCCCATAGTGCTTTATAGCGGGGGTCCCCAACTCCTGGTCTGTGGACTGGCAGCAGTCTGCTGCATGCCAGAAACCAGTCTGCACAAATAAGCAAAGCATCCATGGGATGCAGGCAGCACATGAAACCACACCCCCTCCAGACTGCAGAAATGCCACAGAACTAGTCCCTGATGCCCAAAAGGTTGGGGGCTGCTCCTTTATAGCACTCTCTAGGCAGTTTACAATGTAGGCAGTGGTGGGATTCAGCCGGTTCGCACCAGTTCAGTAGAACTGATAGCTAAATTTTGCTGAGTTCGGAGAACCAGCTTAATGCATAGTGCTTCTGGAAGTCCAGTCTAGGCCTCAGAGGTCTGGAGGAGGCCTCCCAGGCCTAGAATGGCCTGCCGGAAGTGCGTGGATGCCACTTCCGGAAGTCTGTTCTAGGTCTCGGAGGCCTGGAGGATGCCTCCCAGGCCTGCATCCAATAAGAGAACCGATTGTTCGGGTATTTGAATCCCACCACTGACTGTAGGCATTATTTGCATATTGTGCCCAACAATCTGGATCTTCATTTTACCAACTTGAGAAGGATAGAAAGCTGAGTCAAACTTGGGACCCATCAGGATCAAACTCCTGGCTGTGGGCAAAGTTATCCTGCAATACTGCATTCTAACCACTGCACCACTCTTAAATGAATGAAGATTGATCTTGGAGCAAAGTGCTTAGGGCTTTCTGACTGGAAGAGATCATCTTCTTGAGGCTTGTCAAGCAAGAGGAAGTCATGGTTGGCAGCAAAGTGGTCTTTGAAGCAGCTTCAGATTCTCAGTCTTATTGCTGAGCAGAAGAAAGTTCTATCTACCATGTTATGTCATCTACAAATAGGGAACCAGACAGATATTTTAGCTCTGAGAGTCCTTATCTCTCTTTTTCAGCCTTCATTGCACAACTGGGGTCAGTTCTACCCAAACTCTGTTTGACTTCTCTGAAGTAATTAGATGAATGATATTTCAGGCTTAACCTGATACCTTGAGGCTGTGTCAAGAGATAAATATGCATGAAATTCCTCTTCTTTCATTTCATCCTACTTGTTTTCCCTCTTCCCTGCCTTGTTAGCATTTACAAATGTTTCTATTGTTATCTTTCATCAAGCAATCATTAGGGAAGAGAAACTCTTTTATTTTTCAGCATTTCAGTGAACATAAACAAATGCCAGCTTTCACTAATTGCCAAATATTACTTGCTGTAGGGTTCTATAGTTTTGTTTTCCTTATGATTTTAGCTCAAGCAATCTCAGACAGCTTCTGCTCCATTGTAACTGTGAGAATGACAAATACTCCTGAGAGATTTTCTGTGGTAAGCAGTTGGCAAGTATTCCTTAGAAAAACCTGGGCTTTTAGTTACACATTAATGGTTTATTAATGGTGTTTATTTGGAACTGCCAATCACCCCGGGCTCCTGGAATTAAAAGCTGAAGTGGAAAAAAAGGCCATATGTGTCTGTCAAACCTATGAAAAGCCCAAATCCTGCAGACATTTCAGATGCATTCTTGTTCAATTGTTTTTAATAAGAAGAGGAATTAAAAAAACAACCCATCTAATCAACCCATTTTAAAAAAAAAAACAAAAGAAAACTTTGAATTACCAAGCAGCAACATTAAGTTATGGTTTGTATTTCTCTCTATATGTATGTATGTATGTATGTATGTATGTATGTATGTATGTATGTATGTATGTATTATTTTATTTTACTTCCCATTTCAA